GGTCCGAACACTGTCTTATACAGTTTTGGTGACTGCATTATGCACATGTGCATACAAGTAATTTGTAAGTAATTTTTTCAGTATGCACAAGTGTGCATAGAAACCCGGAAGCATCTCTAATTACTTGTATGCACATGTGCATATCGTACAGATGAACGGTTATGAGGGTATTCCTTAGTTTTTCATTTTCTGGGGGGTTTTCCCTTGAACCTCACATAGACACACACACACACACACACTCTCTCTCTCTCTCTCTCTATATATATATATATATGATTCTTAGACTTGATGAATGGATGTATTGGGCCTTGTGTTTAGGTAATTGTGCCACATGGAGAACCTGTCACCGTTGATACTTTTTTGGCATGGAGAGAGAGATTTGAAGCAGAATTGGCACTTCAAAGAGCCAAGTGAGTTCCATAAGATAACTGATACTATTATTTTCCAGAATTTCATATTCTCCATCGCCGGTCACTCATCTCATAGTGTTGTCATATCTAACATTTTCTGATTTATGATACAAACACTTGAAAACTTTCTCGTAGAAATGTGGTCTCAATGGATTTCAGTAGAAAGGTGTCTCGAGATGGTTTTTTATCTTGCATATGCAAGTTATAGTACACACAGATTTACTTGGTAATGTCTTCACGGAAATAGTCGCTCTACTCTTTCACGACGTAGAGGTCAGGTCTGCTTACATTTCACCCCCAGGACCCTACTTAGGAGTAGGATTTACTGTGTCGGTTTGATTGATTTACTTGGTAACTGCAGCATTCCATGTCAAAGGGGAGAGTGGCTAATTCTTTCATCAGGTTAGGTTAGTCTTGGATGCTTACTTTCCTTCTCTACTTCCAGGCTGATGCCGGAATCGGCACTTGCAACAACCAAAGAGAAGAAACTCTCTGGCAGACAGTGGTTTGAAAGTGGCAGAGCTTCTTCTGTGGTAAGTTTTCCATTTCTATTTCCTTAGGGCCCGTTTGGTTTGATGGAATATTTATGAGGGATTCGGATTTCGTGGAAGGATTTGGAATGTTGGTGTGTTTGGTTTGTAGGATCAATTCCATTCCTTATAAATAATTTAAAGAACAAATTATAAAAATAATTAAATTACCTTTTCAGTAATTGAATTACAAAATAAGTGTTTTTAACATATTTTAAAACATTATTACAAACAAATCCGGTGAAATCCTGCGACATACCAACTACCCCCATGGAATTTCTAAATCCCGGGATTCCAAATCCAAACAATCCTTCAAACCAAACATGGGATTGGAATGGAATTGAATTCTAAATCCCTCCAAATCTTATCCAATCTTGCAAAACTAAATGGGACCTTGAGGTTTTTACGCATTCATAGGCCCCGTTTGGTTTGCAAAATTGGATTGGATTTGGTATTAAATTCCATTCAAATCCCATGTTAGGTTTGAAGGATTTCCTGGATTTGTAATTCCACGGGGTCCTTGGTATTTCAGGGGATTGTGTAGGATTTATGTGCAATGATGTTTTAAAAACATTATTTTTGTAATAACCAATTAATAAAGCGGCAATTTAATTATTTATAAAAAATGGAATTCAACGCCATTCCAAATCTTACAAACCAAAGATTCCAATTCCAAATCGTTCCACAAAATCCAAATCCCTCAATACCATTCCATCAAACCAAACGTCCCCTTATAGTCTTAAATTTTATTTTGTAGACATTAAACTTATTTTTGATCTTGGTACCAATTCTTGGAATACATTCTGAATGCTTTCTAGATTTTAGATCTAAGTTGGTTCAGTGTGGCTATGTTTTCAAGATTGGCAGAACAAATAATTTGGGAAAAAGGCTCGAGTATGTAACTGGTTGAAGTACAATATCTATAATAAACATGGGACAAGCTACGATGAAATAAATTGCATGTCAAAACACTAGCTTTGAGGTAGATAAAAAGATGCTTACAACTATGACCATGAAAGGTTTAAGGATGCATCTAAACCAGAGGCGAATTCAGAATACTTTCCAAGTGGGGGTACAATATACTCCCTCCATCCCAAAATTAGTGTCCACGTTTCTATTTTAGTCTCTCCTGAAATAAGTGTCAACTTTCATTAAGTGTCTACTTTCCCATTCTACCCTTAATTATGAGAGAGAGAAAATTTATCTCCATGTTATTAAGGGTAATACTGTCATTTAGTTAACTCAAAAGTGTAATATTTGCATATTTCTAAAACCGTGTGCATTTTTTCATTGTGGACATTTATTTTGGGACGCAGGGAGTAATTTGCATAAAATAAATAAAACACAAATTAATTATAAAAGTGTGGTTTCATTAGGAAAGACTTACAAATGGTTTTTTGCAACAGCCAATTAGCCAAGTGGTTTTTTTCTTTCTGCTGCTGGCACCAAAAAAAATAAAAGAAAGCCAAAAGGATTCATATTTGTAACCTGTAATGCCACATGCAATGGCACTATCAGTAGGCTACAACCACTTTTTGTTAACTTAGGGGAGCACACATCAAATTAAAGAGGGTGCGCCTTTTAAGACTGCTAAAAAAGTTTCCACTATGTTGGGACGGTAGAACGGTAGCATGGGCATCCCTCCCTTCTGAAATCCACTCCTGATCTGAACTGTGGGCATGGTTACATATGAGTTGGTCATGTTTTTGTGTGTAATTCAGTTAGTTCAAGAATAGTTGATTCGGATTCAGCAATTCGAATCTTCAACACTCCTTTTGTTTGACTTGGTATTCTTAGCAGAAAGGTGCAGTACCAATCGAGGATGGATCTGATGAAGAAGATGAAGACTTCGATTTTGATGATGAGGAAGACTTTGAAGGTTATTATCGTGCTTTTGTGTCCTCTGTCCCCCCCCCCCTATGCCTGTTCATATATATGATATCCGAGGGTTCTCGAAAAAAAGACACCTGTCTCTTGAAACAGAGATAAGGTATGCGTACATCCTACCCCTTTCAGATCTTACCTTCTGTTGGCATATATACCCTCTGGTGGAGCCAGCACATGCCCAGAGGCATCTTAGGCACACCCTGGAATCACAAACTCATAATATATAGGTAAAGTAGGTTTTTTACAAGACTACACACCTCCACCCTCTTTGTTTATAAATTGTCTTAAGAGCCCACCAATTATTAATACAGTAGAACCTCTGTGATTTACGAGAATGCAAGAACAACCCAATAACCCCATGTTGTGATAAAAAATAAAATTAAAAGATTTTTAAAATTAAAATTGAAATTTAAAAAGATTCAAAAAATATTAAAATTAAAAGGGTAATAATGGAAATGATATCATAAAATCTTTTAACACGATTACACGATCGTGATTATCTAATAAACGGTTAATCATGTGATATGGGTGTGATAATCATGTGATTATCACACAATTATCACATTATCGCTTATATCAACACGATTTGGTGTTATTTGGGTGTGATGTGGTTGTGATAATCATGTGATTATCACACAATTATCACAATGATTCCGTTCGGCTAGGGTTAACTTAGAAAATCGACTACCGATTTGGTGTGATATGAGTGTGATAATCATGTGATATCACTATCATAACAGCGCACTCGATTTGATCATGGTTTCGATCGGTTAGGGTTAGACAATCACACATTTATCACAACGATTACTCATGGTTTCGATAGGTTATGGTTACACTTGATTGATCATGGTTTTGATAAGTTATGGTTACATAATCACACAATTATCACAAGGGGAGAGAAGAGAGTGGAAACGAACGTGCATGAAAAAAAGGGATAATTATGACTAATTAAAATAAAATAAAAATTATAAAAATTACTTAATTACATTACTGCCCTTACTAATTTATTTATATTTAATATAAGTTAATTTATTAATTAAAAAAGTTTGAGGTTATTAGATTGTTCTCACGTTCTCGTAAATCACAGGGGTTCTCGTTTGAACCTCCACCTATGTATATATATATATATATATATATATATATATATATATATATATATATATATATATATTTCTATTGGTATAGTATTTATACATATTAAAATTCTAACGAAGTCTGTTTCAGTTTATATTTGCTGTAACAAATAGCTTTTCTTTTTCTCAAATAAGTGACGGTTTCGAAATTTTCTATTTAATGACAAAGTTCCAAAATTTCTCCATCAATGAAAAGAAGTTTGAAAATTTATATTTAATGTAACATTTGATGACGTGAATGTCAAATCTTTTTCCACTTCATCGTAACTCTTTCCTTAATATTTCTTTAATGGGTATCCACGTCAAGATCATTAGATTACTTGTCAACATGGGTACAAAAAAAAAATATTCAAAACTTTGTTACAACGATTGATCTTTACACTAAATAGGAACCAACCAAAAATTAGTTTCATTTAGATGCATTTTGCCCTCATTTAGAAGGGTGATTTTTCTGGCTCCACCCCTAGATATACCAGGTTTGGTTTGATGGAATATCATCTGGGTCTTCTCGGAAACCGTCTCTCTGTCTCTCTTTGAGACTGCATACGTCATACCCCTCTCAAATATTGCCTCATGATGGCATATATTGGGTTTGTTTGGTTTGATGGAATATAATTTTGGTTTGGTTGCAGATGATGAAGATGACATGCTTGAGCACTATCTAGCAGAGAAATCAGACTCATCTGCTCATTCTTCAGCAAGAGCCACTTAAAAAAAGTAATTTGCTACTTTGTGGTTCAGAAAACAACACATCTTGGCTGCCATAATCTTGATGACTTAGTTTTATCTGTGATACAAAGTTGCCCAATATACTGATCTCGGCTGTAATTTTGGTGCCCAAGAGGTCAAGACTTTTCGAATCAAAATGGAGTTGTCTTACTCCATTAGTGTTTTCTTCTTTTGAACTCTCGACTTCGGCTGCATATGAAAGTTATTGAGCTTGTTTAGCAACCGCGCCTTGCCTCGCATCGCAGATGGTCAAAGGTTTATGCACGTAATTGTAAATAGACAAACCAAAGAGTCATCGGTTCATCGATATCCAAGTTACCGGTAGAGTCTAGCCTTCCAGATGGTCAAGTCCAAAAAGGGTATATAGATTTGTTATTAAAAATATTAGAGTAACCTACAAATTTGGTCCACATGGTTGTCAAAAGTAACACTTTTAGTCCCTAAAGTTTCTAAATTACAAGATGACCATTGTGGTTTAAAAAACGTTCAAATTTGATCCCTTGTTTTAACGACTGTTAAAAAGTTTCGTTAAATGCTGAACATTTTGTACTTTTATCTATTTTTGTCTTTTCAACGAGTAAAAATACAAAAATTGTCTTTTGGAATTTTTTAACACCTGTTAAAGGGAACAACAAAATCTGGACGTTTTCACAAACCATGATGGTTATCTTGTAACTTTAAAACTACAGGGACCAAAAATGTTAATTTTGACAAACCATAAGAACCAAATCTGTAAAATTTGTAGTTTAGTTTAAATATTATATACTTCCCAAGAAGAAAAACTTGCAATACATTCATAAAAAGGTAAGGAACTGGCAAAATGGAAACGCATGAAAAAAGTGCAAAATGCCAAAGCTTTGTTGCCGAACAGTATTCGGTTACTGGTACCCAGATTCAAACCTCACTACTAAACATGAAGAATGTGCATGATTTATGCCGTCTATAAATATTACAGTTTAAAAAAATGCAAAATTTCTCCTGTTATCCAAAGAATAATTTGATTTCTTTCGGTTCGCTGTTCAACTATTCCCGTCCAGCTCGAAATATAATACAGGTCAGGAACTTATTTCCTTTTGGCATTCATCCTCTTAATGATGTAGCAAAGCTATATATATAGAGAGAGAGAAAAGGAGAGATCAAATGCAAACCCTACCCATATTTGTACAAATCACTCATCTATCGATTTCATTGTTTAATCTTATGAAATTGTTTCATATAATACTTTTTTTATGGAGTTGTTTCATATACGGTTATGAAATTTTAATGAAAATTGTTTCACGTATTTCTTTAAAATTAATATAATGAAGATGCTAATATCCATGATTAACACTCTCCACAATAAAAATGATTAATCAACCTTGATTGATTGAATGAGGTTTGTACAAATAACATGGTTTACAAAGTAAACCTCCTCTCTCAATAGATATAATATATGTATATATGTATATATACATATATGAGCAGGTTCAGAACCATAATTACTTTGAAAAACGTGAGAACGAACTATTCATAATGAATAAACATGACTGAATATTATTCATCATGAATAATTGGTTTCTCATGATTCTCAAAATATTTACTATTTTTAAATGAACTTTTCCCTATGTTTACACATGAATATCCTTCCGTTGCCAAACTTATCTCAGGATTTGCATTCTGCAGTTCATTAAGCCAGAAGCCATGGCAGGAGCTTATACCAACATTCACGATCATGCATATGTCGTTTTATCAGAAAGTGTCGGGTCAGGTGAAAGTCGAGTTGACATGAGACGATGTGATCTACACACATCCTTGTTCAGACATACCGCTGGCTATTGTTAGAAATGCAGATATGACCGCGCCATGTACCAAAGCCCTGATAAAGACAAGAATATATAATTAGGGTCTTTGGCCCAACAATTAGGGGTATAAAGCTTGAGTATCGATATACTCGACTCCAAAACTAGCAAGTAGTTGAAAGCTAAACTCGACTCGAACTAATTGCAATTTCTAAACTCGAACTCTAATCAAAGTCGCCCCACACCTTTTTTTGACCGTTAATGTAAAATCACATGGCCGTTTCCATATTCTCTTAAATAGTTAGCATTATCGTTTATATCTATAAAAACTTAAAGCATGCACATCAAAACATCTTACTCAGGACTCTCCTTCTGGTAACCGAAATCGACCGCTGCTTTAAGAGCCCTTTGGTAGGTCTGTTTCATTGCTTCCTGCCATTTGAAAGGAATACGGAATTACAGAGCGTACGACACCACAACTTGGAAAAATATGCGAGGACTAGTAATGCAGGAAATAACAGCTTTTAAATGTATATTGATCGAGGGGAAGGTATAGAGTCCCTTCCTTTTGCGAAACAATCTCAATTGTCCATCTAGTCTAATGAATATCTAATTCCATAAATATTTCAATTATTTCCTAACCTAAAAGGTTGATGATAATAAATGAACTATGATCAACTTCCTTAAATATCCAGATCATAATAAATGAACACTCATCTCTCTCTCTATATATAAATATATAGAGATATATATATAGAGAAAGAGAGATTGGGACCACGTGAGACCAGCTTGTTCTCGTGAGACCTATGAGACCACTTTTTTACACTTGAAACTTCACAGCAAAACGCTGTGAAGGTAACCTTCACAGTGTTTTTGCTGTTAAGGTTCGGGTTTTTTTTTTTTTTTACCTTCACAGCATTTTGCTGTGAAGTTTCAAGTGTAAAAAAGTGGTCTCACGAAAATAGGCTGATCTCACATGAACCCAACCCTATATATATACCGGTTATCAAAATATTTATGGTTCTCCTTTGAACTTTCCTCTATTGATTGATGAGTAGATAAAAGTAATTTGAATGAATTAATAGAAGGGTAAGCCTGGTGTACCAAGCCTATCTTTTCGAGTCCTTCACTATTGCCATTTCGTTCAATGTTGTCAAACTATACTCAATGCCAATGCGTGAAAATGCAGGGAGGCCTTTCCTACCATGGAAGGTAAGGGCCGGTCTGATAGCTCCAAAGTAGATATGTGTATATCCTTGAGCCATGCAGTGTCTGGGGAGGTCTGTTCGAAGGGACAGTGTCACTAAGTGTTCTATGTGGTAGCTGGGAGTTGGTGGGAGTCAAATTTAGAAGTCTGGACAAAGCCTTTTCTAGCTTTGGAGGTCGGAAACAGAAGATCCTGAATGCAGTCTTTTCTTTGCATTTTGCAAAGAGCCTGTTTCAGTGACCCGAAGAAATGATCTTTTGGTTCCTCAACTTGATAAGAAAACACTACGGACATAAAACTAAGGTGGCGAGAAACTAATCACAAGCATTTCTTGATTGTGACGATAATAGAACATAGCATAATCATCATAGAGCAGGGAAAAATGACAATTTTTTTAACTTGTTTTCTTTACTAGTTTTGGATACAGAATGTTCCTTACCTGCAGTTTAGATTCAAAGTCCTCAGGTGCCCAGTTCAGATTGCACTCTTTCAGCTCAAGTTCTCCAGCAACAACCTGCAAATTCATGAACAATATCGTGCAAGAGAGATGAGAGCTTCGATAAACAAAGTGAACTACTCCCTCCGTCCCAAAATAAGTGTCCACAATAAAACAAGACGCACAATTTTAGAGAAGTATAATTATTACACTTTTAATTAACTAAAAAGGGAATAACTAACTTCTCCATCTCATAATTAAGGGTAGAATGGGAAAGTACGCACTTATTTTTTAGAAGTGGATACTTATTTTTGGACAAACTAAAATAGAAATCTGGACACTTATTTTGGGACGGAGGAAGTAAAAAAGATATTGATTTGAGTAAGTAATACCGTCGCAATGTATGACGAAATGTTTGGTACCATAATAGAACGCTGCTCTCGACCAAACTTCAAATTTTCATTTGGTTTTGTATGTTGGTCTTGTTGCCCTAGAGGCCAGGTCTGCGTACATCTTACTCCTTCCCCACCCAACCCACCTCCAGGTGGGACATACTGGGTTCATTTCGTTTATGTTGGTCTTGCTGACATTACCAGAACTTTTCATTTTTGCAATTAACTTCAGATATTCAACCTTAAATAACGTATGGACGTTCCTCTGTATTCCTTCCTTTAGCATGATATGGTTTAAGGTGATTTTCTTGGAGTTGTTGTGTTGTTCGGTGTCATAATATAATAAGCAAACTACATAAGTTGGTTTTTGTTTAAATGAACGATGTTTTTTAATATAAATTAATCGTTAGTAATTTTGTTGTTGCGAAGAGATAGGCATACCCCTCCTGTACCAGCAGCTATAGAAGGAGCAATGAGAACATTAGCCTTCCGCAAAACATTCACTGCTTCAGGGGTACATGGCATGTTCGAACCTGAAAAAAGTACATACAAATATGGCACCAGGATGAGATCAAATATATGTATCTTTGCCGTATCATGACATATGCATTTGGAGTGGACAGCACAGGACTCGACGGGCAAGAGTTGGCTAGGCAGGTGAAAGAATTGTGCTAATGTTTTAGGTTTTAATTTGACATGGGCAGTCTAGTTTTAGCTGTTCGGCGTTTGGTAAGACAGAACTGGTAAACTGATCAATTTACCCCTAATGAGTTCTTCGTGTATTTTATATATTTTGATTAGTTTATTAAATTATAATAAAATAAATTTTTCTTATAACAAAATATATTATTAAAATTTTTGAGTCAAGATGATTAAAATGACACCAAAAATGTATTTTATTAATTTTCAATTTCTATTTTATACCTTTTGTATATTATATTTTTATTACTAATATTTTAATAAATTTCATAAATTAACCAAAATATATTAAACATACATAAAAAATATTCTGAGGATAGTAATGTGAAAGCTTAAAATGGATAAAATACAAGAAATAAAATTTACAAAGTAGAACACCATTTTCATCCCTGTGGTTTGTTAATAATTTAGATTTTCGTCCTAGTGGTTTAGAAATTGCGATTTCATCCCTATGATTTGCAATTTATTGCTATTTTCGTCCTTGAACTAATTCGTACCTTTACGTACAAGGGACCAAAACAGTAAAGAATTGTAAATCATAGGGATAGAAACAACAATAAATTGTAAATCATAAAGACGAAAACAACAATAAATTACAAACCATAGGGATGAAAACCACAATTTCTAAACCATTGGGACGAAAATTGCAATTTTTACCAAACCAAAAAAAGTAATTTACTCTTTAAAGAATGGATAAAATAAAATTGAGGCGTATTTTATGCTTTAGAAAGAGAATTAAGTTTTATTCTAAGGGTATATTGGTAAAATATAGGTTTGTTCCCACCTTGTTCCACGGGATGAGGTGGGATGGGTTGGGAACACACCAGTTCCACTTTGTTCCATCCTGTTCCACCCTATTCATGTCTAGTCTACATAAAAGTCTTGTCAAACGCGAAAATGTGATCCATGTTCTGTCTTATTCAGTGTACCAAACGCATCCTTAATGTCACACCAAACGTAGGATAGCAAGTTTTTGTCCTATTATATCCAGTCCTGCCCCGTGTACCAAACACATAAAGGAGCAAACACAAATGGGAATCATTACCTTCAATAAGTATACGGCATCCCAAATTAACCAAATTAATGGCATCGGAGTGATCGATTTCATTCAATGAAGCACAAGGAAAAGCGACATCACATCTTTCATTCCAAGGCTTTGCTTCCTCATAGTACTTGGAACGGGCGTAAGTCTTTGAATAATCTCTGGAGATGCCATTTCTTGAATAAATGAAGAACGGAGAGGTTAAAGGTAAAAAAATTGGAATATAAAGAAACACAAACCTTAAAGTTCTATGTTGTGATTTGATGTCTCTAAGAAAAGATAGTTTCATGAAATCAAATCCATCCTCATCCACCAAATACCCCTTTGAATCTGTAAATTTTTTTTGGCGATCGATAACAGTTACCATCAATGACATTAGATTTTATAAATAAAAACATCATACAAATGCAAGATATAGTCAAATTCTTATGTTCCATGTGTTAAGTCTGGCAAGGGTAAGCAATTAAAATCATGTCGTACAGAAGTGGTTCCCACATAGTTAGCTAGCCCATTTATGCCATTCAAGTCATTATAGAACATTTCTCGTGTACTCAAGCCGGGAAGTCTTCAAGGAAACAACCGCTATACTGTAACACCCCAAAACCAAGCAACAAGCTGGCCCAATAACTTTAAATCCAACTTAAAATCTCGAATTCAACTTAAAGCCATGGTGGAAGTTATTGGTAGCCCAAAATTTTAGGCTTGTAAGGAGCTCACAAATCCCATTTTCTATCATCATGGACGAGTTGTTACTTCTACTCTTTGGGGTAGAGGTCAGCTCTACGTACATCCCACCCTTAGGTGGGATATACTGGGCTCCTTTGGTTTGGTTAACAAAATGTACAAGGGGGTGAAAGGCCCCGGATATGGGTCCAAACCCATCATCACATACTACCATGCATAAGGCCATTATGTCATTTCTTTAGTTATGGTAATCTATACAAGCATGATTAGGAGAATAGATTAGTCATGCTTGATCTGATATTTGATTAAGGTTATATTGAGCATCAAAGGAGAGACGGTTACATCTCGAAAGCATACCAAAATTTTGTTTACATTCATGCTTTTCTTTTAATTTCGGTAAAATCTTGTTGGGTTCTATCGGGAGGGTTGTGGTGGCTTCAAGGGATTGTATGTGAAATTAAAAGGAGAAGAAATAAGAATTTGTGTTGTTGGTGGCAATCAAGAACCACAATGATTGAAGAGATGGACCAAAATGAGAACATAAAGGAGGAAAAGAAACAAGAAAAAGGGCATTGTTGCCCCTCTTATTTGAATTGCCATGGACATTTTTGTCTTTTCACCGGTAAATATAAGGCAATGCTTGTCAATTTAAGGGTTCCAAGAAAATTAATGCTACTCACCCATATACAACCACACTTCTAAAATTTGTGGTACTCCAGAAAGTGCATCTCAAAGGGAAGTTCTGATGATCACTATAACCTAGCATGAATTGGTGCAAACCCACTAGCAACATAATATTGAGTTGAGCAAAATCTTATTCAATCATGGAGTTGTCTTTGTACCTGACACCGTGATAGGAAGAGCACCATATGCGATGAGCTTCTCTAAGACATGCATAGCGATTTTTCCAGACCCACTAATCACGCATCTGGATGAACAAAATGAACAAATTACCAAACAGTTTGATGCAAAGAAAAAACTTTTTTTCATGTCCAAACCCTAGACAGCACAACCGCCCCAATATTAGTTCCGTATACCGCAGGGACGGACCCACTATGGTGCATATGATGGCGCAGGCCACCACTTCGTTCCTCCATCGTAGTGTGAAAATTTGTAGGGTCGTGAAGGATGCCACCATATCATTTTATTGGGTGCAATCGTATATTCCTTGAAACTAAAATAATAACACAAGTTTCTATTGGTAGAGTTGCTTTCCACGGTCTTTGCTCCCCTTTCAGGCCTGGTTTCGAGTTTCGTTTGTATTATTTTCTTAGTTTTTAGCTTTTATTTTCAGGATTATTATGTTTCTGAAATTTTTGGGGATAAAAAAGTCAAACACAGGACCTCACATACAAAAATCAAGGAACTAACCAATAGACAAATGATAATTTTGTAGAAAAAATAATATAACTTCTTTTTTTATAGTCAAATGGTGCCACCACTTGAAAAAAATTCTAGGTCTGCCTCGGGTATACCGACTCTACATCAACAAGGTACTGACATCATTTTTATCGACAGATTTATCTGTAAGCTAACACCCAGCTTCAGCATCAGCTCTTTTAAGAAACGGTTATGCATATACAATTATACAAAACCCACCTAGAACTATAAAATATCTCTCTCAATTTACATCAGAAGTTCTCATTTATCAATTGCATTAGAAAAAACTATTGACAGAATGCTACAAGAAAGAAATGTATGAAGTGTCAAACCTTAGTCCTTTGAGTTCTTTATTCATGTCTGCGAGTATAAGTTGTGCAAAGAAAACCTATAAAAAACAATAATTCTTGATAAGGTGACACATTCCGTAAATACTTTTACTCCAAAGCTCCTCTACAAAAATACACACAGATGCACATTGAGAGAGAGAGAGGGGTAAAGTTACCAATCCATAGCCAGTAGCTTCAGTTCGCAGGCTAGAACCCGACCAATTAAGCCTTGGCCCGGTAAAACTTCCCTGCATATAGGTGGTATCAAATCATAAATAACAATCAAACGAATGTCACTTGCTGATAGATATACTCCCTCTGCCACATGTTAAGTGCAGCATTATACTTTTCAGATCCAAAACATCAAGTGTTCAGATTTCTAATCATATACGTCAGATCACAAGAAAATGGGGTGAAGATGTTTGAACTTGAATATTTTATGAAACTTCAAGTTGTCAAATTTGAGTAAAAGCAGACCAACATGTATAACCCCAACTCTACCATTATATCTGAGACAACAAGGTCGTTTAAGTTCCCAAATTCTCCAAAAGGGAAAATATTGCAATTAATACGACACAGCGGGTAGCAGAAATGTTGCACTTACTGTGGGTGCAGGGAGTATCATTAATCAATCATGCAAACTTGATTATTAAAAAAAGATAAATCACGGACTAACAACACATGACACACAAGACATTGTGTAAACTGATATGCCAATCTAAAAAGAAATACGGTTGCATAAAAATTTCCATCTATCGATTTAACCATACAACTCCTGTTTTTAGATTGGCAGCTGTGACTAAAAAAATTGCATAGATATGTGAATGGCATCAATTTGTAAAAGGAGCCTACAAGTGTAGCAAATGACAGCCTCACCTGAGAATGACCAGCCAGGCGTCTATATTGTCCATAGAGAAAACCCATTTCACGTGTGCCAACACCCATCTCCTCTGAAGGAAGATCCTAATAGTTAAATCGGAAGGACAAAACAAAGGGATTACAAATTTGAATATAGATGAACTGAGATGAAAGAAGGATCTGAACAAGAAATTTCGTTTTGAATACTTTGTCAGGGCCCAGATAACGATACAGCTCATCCATATAACTCTGGCAGAATTGCATAATCTACAAGCACAATTCACAAACAGAATCATAACCAAATTTTTGGGAACAACATATAACTCAATTCATTGATATGAAGACAATACCTCATTGTCACTTTTCCCTTTTGGGTCAAAATCGCTCCCACCAGAAGCCCCTCCAAGTCTATATGGAGATAATGCAGTCTTTAAGGTCTGTGTGGTGAAATGTAAAGAAATAAATTGTCAAATGGTCAAAACATGACCTTTCCCGTATTTTGACACGACATAAGACAAATTCCCCTGATAAATGTGGAAGACTCGGAAAATCAAACACTAGATATAAGTTAGGTCAATAAAAACAAAAATCTTATTTATCTTCAGTCCAAGTGTTTACATTCTTGACATGCTTAAGAACACAATCATGATTGCAATAAATGCAACTACTTAGGAAGCAGATTTACAACTCAATTTGCAACCCTAAACAGAACTCTTGATGAACTTCTCATTCATACCAGCATGGACACCAAACAAGTAACAGAAAGGTTGTTCATATCACAATATAATAGACTGCATGGTACCTGCTGAAAACCAAGAAATTTGGTGATGCTCAAGTTCATGGATGGGTTGAAACGAAGGCCTCCCCTACATGGGCCCAGGGTCTGATTAAAATGAACCCTAAACCCTCGATTGACATGCATTTCACCCCTATCATCAGTCCAAGGAACTCGGAAAATAATCATACGCTCAGGCTCTAACAGGCGCTCCATCGTGTTGACATAACTACAACATCGTAAAATTCCGTTCTTTTAGAGCTAATACCAAATTTCAGTAATAATAAATTTTTTGCTTCAAATGACATAATGCTGATTAATACAACAATCCTTGAGAGAACTCACCCAGAGTTTTTTGAGATAACTCTTTCTAAAGCATGAACAACTTCTTGCACATATTGTATAAATTCAGCCTCATGAGGATCCCTTTTAAGTAAAGCTTCTACAATTGATCCAGCTGTTTTAGACATGAGAGCTGTTTCAAGATTTAAACCATCAATACACCGGCTAAAACAAATGATTCAAGAAGAGAGATGTAGAAAGTAGGAACATAAATAATGACATTAAGAAATCGTCGAATTAAGTCATCCATCCGAACCAGAAATGAAAAAATCTACAGAAACCATCAACTGTTTTTGTTTCCACTGGCTTACTGGCAAAAATTTAGGCATAAAACAGATGAGATCATATTTATGTCCTATTGTGTTACTGCATGGCCATATAATTTGTGAACAAGTTCAGTTGCTAAATAAAATTTAGTTCTCACCTGTTACAGTTTCTGAAGTATCTTCAAAGGGACCAAGTATTTTCAAAACTATCCAGTTTTGGTGTCCATTCAGAGATCAAGTATTTTAAAGTGCTGGAACATTCAATGTAATATGTGTAAATTGACTTTTTGTTCATTCCATCACATGAGAAAAGAAATGTTGCATACTAGCGAAAGTAATTAAGCTAGATGCTAGTGTATCTGGTATCTGTTTTGATAAATAGAGTGACATCTTGAGATTATTTGAAGCATTTTGTTTACAGCAAAAAATCCTGTTAGATTCATTGATATAAGAGTACAAATTCCAGGTGTATGGCATATAAAATTGAAAATCATAGGTAGAAAAGTAATATAGCACCACACTGCATTAGGATTTTCACTTGACAGACTCCTATGACAAAGTACAAGAGTACAAAGATAATGGATGTGGGGACATGCACCACAGCACAATGCTATCTGGTCCTGGATTCTCGAGTTAGGTATTTGCTTGATTTCATCATAGAATTACCTAATAGAACACCAATGTTTGAACAATTGCTAAAATAGATAAGCACATACCTTTTACAAATATGGGCTTGTCAGCAACGATCTTATCTTTGGATGCCATTTGGAGACGAAGAGCTTCTTTGTGAAGCAAACTGTTGTTATGTTCTTCCAATGCACTCATTTGCATATTTCTACTACCTTCATTGCCATAAGGGTTTCTTCTATGTTTCCTACCATACTCTCTGCAAATCGAGCAAAATATCCTTGCTGTCCCTTCCTTCACATCAACATATGCCCACTTGTATGTGTCGGCCCACTCCTCTCTCCATCTTTTTACCACCTTCTTTTTTCTTTTAGCCGGCTGTGACTTCAACAATTCGTTATCATCACTGACAAGTTGGGAAACCATGACCATACTTTTGCTCTCATCATGATCCTCAGCTGAAGATTCCTGCAGTGGAATGCCAATAAGAGGAGTTTGACTTTGACCATATGAAGGATCATCAACCCCATGTCCTATTTCCAAATCAATTTCTTCCCCAAGTTCCCTGACCACCATGTGATGTCTTTGCTGAATCAAACTCATGTCATCCATTGTAGAATTCATCCCTAACCCAACAATTGGAAGCAACGCTCAGCATGACAATTTTAGCCACACGTGCGGCCTTTTCCTCTATCCCACAGGTGCAAACGAAAATTTTATCCAGCTAAACGAAGAGAAGAAGCATGTGATCAGTAACAAAGCTGAACAAACTCGCACTCCACACACATTTGATTCAAGAAACTTGGACATTATCATTTTTGACCCAATGGAACCAAGTTATACAGATGGGGGAAAGATGACAACCCTACTTCTTTTGTATATTTGATTTAATATATTTCATCACAGTTTGGGTTGGACCCTAGCTTGATATGATTCTCATTCTTTTCAAAAATTCCATGATCCCTTCCCGAACCAAACATGAATCTTATTCTTGAAAATGGTCAAGCATACTATAATTTGTTCCATTCGGCCTCACAACAAAGAGATTCTATCTCCATATACAGATCAGTGACACAGACACACACACCAAAAAGCTATCGACACAAAGTGAATTATTCTTTTATAAAACAAAAAAGGAACAGTATATCATCGTATAACAAAAAAAACCCTAATTGGAGCTTGCTTAAAATTGATCAACCATAACACAGTTCTTATATCAATTTCCAGGTAAATCTTACTCAACTTAAGCAATTTTCTTACAATCAAACAAACTAAAACCCTAAACAAAATTAATTGATCAAAGATAACGCAAGTCCAGATGAATCAAATAGAATCTGTGAACTTACAGAACTGTCTTTTGACTTGTTGAGTCTTGTCGCCGCCAAAAGCTAGAGATATATGAAAAATGTTGGAGAACAACTCTTCAATTACGACAATCAATTGCGTAGTGTACCATGATCATACTCGTTTTGGGTTTCCATCAAACAGACTGGATCAAATTGAACTGTATGCATATATATATGTAGTGAGAAGGAGAAATTGAACGCAAAATTATGCAATTGAAAGGTCTTTGATCTTGATCGAGATAGAGGTTTAGTTGGAGCAAAGCTGGAAGAAGAGGAGGAGGAGGAAACAATTGAAAGGGATGGTGAAGATGAAGAAGAGTTTGTATTGTGTTTTTGATTAATCAAAGGCGCGTGAACACCACTCGCGGTGATAGTGGAGTGGGTTCGGTTTAGGTCAGGTGAGTAGCAAACTTTTTCTAAGAGAAAGTTACGTTTTTAGTCCCTATGGTTTGTTAAAAGTTACGATTTCTGTTATTTCAAATCCGTAATTTCTTTCCTTGACCATCCGGCATCCGTCAGATAAAAAGGAACGAACGGATCTTTGACTATTACGAAAAACACCATTGGATTTCAAAGTATGGAATTTAATGGCTATAAGCTAACTGTTGTCAAAGGTTAGCCGCATCCGACATTGCTCCATCAGGCTTTTCGCCTATGATTCTCGTCTAATTCGTGGCCTATTAGAAGTAGAAGGCGCTCTGGTGGGATCCGTGCATTATAGATTACGTTTTTAGTCCCTGTGGTTACGGTTTATCGTCCCTATGAATTATAAATTACGGTCTTTCATTTCTATGCTTTATAATCAATTGCTATTTCAGTCTTTATTATTAACTAGTCTTTATTATTAACTAGAATGGTGCTCGCATAATATAGTGAGAAATATATATATATATCAAATTTATCGTATCATTTTATTATTTATCTATGTCGATATAATACGGTTTTTAGTGATTTTGAGAAAGCGAAAATATTTTTATTTTTGAATAAAATATAAATTTATATTTATCATAAAAATATGAGAACAAATATATCGATATTAGTATCAAATTTACTATTTAAAGCTTTAATTCAATAGTTTATTCATAAAATACAAATCGGCCACAAACATGGATTGCTTAGTGAATAAGGCATACATGGTTGTTAAGCTCATTAAGTGATTACCAAACATTACTTTCAGTTCAACAAAAGTAAGATAACAGCTAGCAAAACAACATTCCCCAACTTTAAGCCGCAAAATTCTCGATATATTTAGGGTTTTAGTAACAACAATTGATAAATAAATATATTACATTCATATTTGAATAAAACCATATTCATTCATTTTGTCAGTTCACATGACCTGGTAAGCATTTACCCGGATAAGCTTTTATAACAGGTTTCTGCAATCAAGAACAAACAAACAAACCAAGGAAGACTTGTTAACCTTTCTAACAATCTATTTTGTTTTTTGTTGGATAACACTACACTTCACATGATTGAGTAATTACGAGCGAAACATGTCAAGTAATTACATACATATACATACATACATACATACATACATATATATATATATATATATAGACACACAATTGACATAAGAATCACATCAACAGAACGTTGGTAAAGCCCTTCATGTGTATTGTGCATTCGAGCTCTCGAGTTTCTTACTTAGAGCATCAGAGTAAGAGCTCATGAAAGTTGTTTGCTCATCTTCGTGATCATCAGACACCTCTCGAGTATCTCTTATCTTCAGAATCATCTGTATTCAAATGATGTTACCTCAAACCATGGTATAAGATGGACTGCAAAAGCAATTTTAATCACATAATGCAACTCCTGCCTAGATATCAATCTAAACAAGATAATAACAATAAAAAAAATGTGCAAGTAGCATGCCAAAAAATTCTTTTTGGTCATCTAAACAACCAGATAGCTTAGGTTTTCGAAGACTAAGAAATGGTACAACTTTCTTCATATGCCCATATCTCATGTTACTGTGATTTATCACTGCTGATAGTTGCATCAGGAGCTGCTGTCATCTAAAAGTTAGAATGATCAGAAAACAGGGAGTATCTACTAACAACAACAAACCCTAATCATGTCACATTAGTTTATGTCTTGTCTTATTATACAATATCTGGATACGAAACACACCCTAACTACATCTTTGTTTTATAATCAATAAGAGGCAAATAAGAGATTGGTCTACCTCTTACCAAATAAGAAAACAATAAGACATAAGTGTCTCTAAAAAATTGAAAAGAATGCACTTTGTTTATATATACTTCTTGCAGATGTAGGCATACAATTAGCATAGACAGTAGTAACGTTGTATCAAGACCATGGTTAGTGTTTTACAAATTGCATGAACTTCATTTTCGAGGAGGACATGAATCATGAAGCGATCCAAAACAATTACACAACATAAACATAAACATGAACAGCAACATACAACAGTTCCTTTTAGCTTCAGATTTGGTACAAGCAAATGGTATGCCCTTGGACAACCCCTACACCCAAAATCATCAACTTAAAAAGTATGTACAAGAAAGAATAAGGATTGTTGAAGCTACAAAGTCATATCTCCATAGTTTGCAATAGATATATAAAGAATCAAATTAAGTGATCAAGGAACATATATACGTGAAGCATTGGAACAGAGTAATTAAAACCACAAAAGAAGCATATAGAAAACAACCTTGTCATGCTTATCCGACCGATTAGAACTTATCAAATAAACATATAATAGATGTCCCCTAAATGGAAACATTATTATAAATAACTGTAATAACATGACAACAAATAACCTCATGAAGCTATAAGTTAGGGACACATGTTTTTTGAATTTTGTAAGAACTTTACCTCCGTAGATAAGATTGATATGAAATGTGGAAACAAGATATTGGAAACAAGAGAATAATCAAATAAATAAGTTTATATAATGATTTGTACAATACAATTAATTATCAATAGTTATAAGACTTACAAGGCACACTTGGTTTCAGATCAGAGGTCAAGTCCATTTTCAGCAATTGCTCTTGAATCAATGACCAGATCTTCACCCTGTAAAACAACACAATCTTATCAGAATTTTCTTACAAATACTTAGCATAGTATAAAATAAAACAAATTTCATCATAAAAATTACAGTTACATTAATAATAATGAACTGCAACACCCGGTTGGTTTTTTGTAACTTATGATGCCTCGCATCGAATCACAGCAATGCACTTTTAAGACCCGTAAAAATATCCCACTATGCCAGGGCGATAAAGTGGAAGTTAAACTACTGTCCAGATGCAGTGCTAGTTTGTACCGTACAAGCTAATGATGCATCCAGGATGGCTCAAAATCTTGATGAGAGTTTGTTATATTGATGACAATAACAGCAGTTGTACCACTGTAGGAGAAATCTATATGTTCCATAAGCTTGATCTCCTTGTCCATGACTTTGAAGGCACTAAAACAGGCATCTTTCCAATTTCCAAATATGGAAATCCTTGGAGTCAAACTCATCATCATGCTCAATTACCGCTTTGCCCTTGATTATGGTGGAATTTCTTTGGTTGACAATCAATGATGGCAACCTGTTTCTCATTATTTGACCATTCCTTCCATGCCCATCAAAAACCCCACCAAACGCACCAATTCCATAATCCTTCATCAAAAAATAACATTAAATTAGAGAATAAAACTGAAAATTGAGAGATACCCATTTCATATAATGAAAATCCAACATGGAAATTCTTTTTGGTTAGGGTCTAGGCTAGTCTTCAATCTAACATTTTTTGCATGATGTCCTTTTTCATATGCTTCCATGTCTGTTCAAGTGAGTTGATTTGGTTAAAATTTGATAAGAATGCTAGAGTTGATGTTGTATGGCAGCAGATGAATAAGGGAATTTCCAGAGAGAAGCTGAATTCCATTATTAAAAGTCTACCTCAAATTTAAAAGCCTTCTTCAAAACCATCTTCTTCTGTGAGTGTTCCTATACATTATTTGTATTGAAACATCTCAACTTAACATATTCACTTATTCAACTTTATTAGAGTTTACCTGTCCAACCCATACCAAGTTTAAAGCCAGATGATAGAAGAGACAGTGTTGGTGAAGAGGCTTTAAAGGTTGCAGCTGTTGTCAAGGAAGCAGCATCTATGGCTGCTGTTTCAGGAATCTATGGCTTTAAAGAGACAGTGTCATACTCTTCTGTATTCCTTTCTTCATCTTGACTGAAATCTATATCACATCATTTCACTTCAGAGATGCGCTTTGCTCATTAATTTGTACACATTTTTTCTTAATTCCTCCAAGGCCACTGGAGATTTTCCGTGTTGTGGTAAGAAAATATTACACCATTTACAAAAAAAATTGGCTACTAAATTATTCTAGAAGAGTATTGGTCACTATATTTGGGCAGATTATTTTCTCTAGCTCTTTTCTGTTCTCTATCAGTACACTCGAGACCATTGCTAACTAAATTATCATTTGCCTCTCTTCTACTTCTTTCACTTAAAACAACCATTTATCTTTGTTATTTATGTTTCTAATAGCAAAAGATAAAAGATTGATGAGGATGGTAAGCTTAGAATAAGAGCAGGCTAGTCATAGGTAGACAGTAGGTAAGTAGTTAGGGCTTTAGGAGTAGAGGTAGTTAGGGCTAGGGGCCGTTTAGGAGTAGGAAGAAGGGTAGGGGAGGTTTAGAAGTAGGTACCCGAGGTCCTACTCCTACTCCTACTCCTAAACCGCCCCTAACCCTAACCTTCCTCCTACCCTCTAACCTACTCCATAAACCTAGACCCCTAACCTAACCTCCTACCCTCTAACCAACCCACACACCACTCCCACACCCCCTTTCCTCCTACCCTTTTATCCATTCCCCTCCTACCTAACTACGAGTAGTAGTTAGGTCGAGGGGGGAGAAATAATCATTTATCAGTTTCTCTTCTCTCGATCTTGGAACCAAACTGGAAATTAAAAACTCAAAGATCAAAACCAGATTTTTTTAATATTTTATATTACATAACAATGTACATAATTTAGAAATAAAGAATTTGATCAATTGAAGGTAATTATGTTCAAATTCTCAACTTGATCAATTTATGTTGAAATTCTCCACATAAAAAGATTTGTTCAACTTGATCAATTTATGTTCAAAACCCAAAAAAAACATAATCCCTGAAACTAAAATTCTTAAATTAAAACTTTGAGATTAAGTTTTGATAATAAGCCTTAACATTTTTTTAATATAAAAAAAAAGCTTATATCAAGATGAAAAAAATATTTAAGAAAAATATTGCATCTATTATATCAAGATGAAAAAAATATTACATAAATTAATATTGTATATAAATTGTTTATATTAAAAATATAATATACTCTCTAAGACTTTAATTTTAAGAAAATGTAAATATTAAACACTGAAAAATATTGAGGTCACAAATGTATACTTGAAATATTAGATTTTGTATGAAAAAACAGAAACGTGAATAATTTTGTTAATTAATGAAATTTAAAAATATAAATCATTTGTATAATTCATATTTAACAAATACCAAAAATATTTCATTAAATAAATTGTGTTTAAAGGATGAAAACAAGGACCCAGAACTATTAGTGTTTTTAATATGAAAGTAATTAAGAATGGAGTTTCCTATTTATCATAAAGATATAAAGAAACCTCAAACATGAATTAGCAATAAAACAAATTCAAGAAACTTAAAAGTAACCTTAAACATGAATTAGCAATAGAACAAACTCAAGAAAGCTTGAAAGTAATTAAGAATGGAGTTCCCTATTTATCATAAAGATATAAGGAAACCTTAAACATGAATTAGAAATAGAACAAATTCAAGAAAGCTTGAAAGTAATTAAGAATGGAGTTTCCT